GTCATTATCGTCATCCGAGTCTCGAGTATCTTCGCCATCGCTATCGTCACTGACAACCACCACGTGCTTACCCTTCTTCGGGGTCTGCGGTTTGAATTTGGGACAACACTCGGGACACAACCACTCGCCGGCCGGTATCGACTCGAGCGCCGGCTGGAGGCAGTAGGTGTGGTGTCCGCGGTTGCACTGATCGCATAACAGCATGTTTTCGGCGTCGCATTTGCGCCGACATATCTTGCAGAAGGCCTTCAGCGCACTCTTACACCAATTGATGCCCAACTCGAGCGCCGACAGGTGTACGAACAGCTGCGACATACTGGCGCACTCACGGAGACTCTGACGCCAACTGTTGAACACCGGGCTGTCGTCACTGAGCTGTTCCGACAGACACATGGGTCGCACGCACTGTCTTAACATCAGTATAGCCTTCGCGTAGCGCTCGATGAGTGTCTGTTTCGCGCCGTTAGCGCCCTCCCCGTCCACAACCCGTTGCCACTCCTCGCGCAACACGGGGTTCACGACCGCCAGACTCGCCGACACCACCCGTTCCTCCAAATGAAACAAATAGTCGCGCATCGACTTCACGATACACTCGCTGTAACCCAACCCGACGTTTGAGTGTTTGCCGCCTTTCCGCGAGTGAAACACCTGTTGTATGCGTTGCGAGCGGCGGCCCTCCGGCGGCGCCGGTATGTCGCGGTTCAGGCGATGCGGTTGACACCCATTCACGTACTCGTCGACGATATGCCGGTCTCTATTCAACGCGAATATGAGTTCACTCTCGCGAAAGCCCCGACAGTTCAGACTCTCCACTAAATCCGTCAACTGTTCCGTCGAGTAGTAGAACTGCCATTCGGTGGCCAAACGGCTACTTGTGGTCAGCCCGTGGACGGCACAGGTAGTCATGTTAGCCGTGCACTTGTCAAACACCGACAGTTTCGCTGAATGTCGTCGCGCGGCGCCGGTATCCTTGGCATAGGTCTCCGAAGCCGACTTCGAGTCGTTCTCCTTATCACTTGTGGTGGAGATATCGTCGCTGAGACTCGACTGCGAGGACTCCCTCTTGTTATCGGCGGACGTACTGTCCCTCGGCTTCAGCGACTTGTTAGGCGTGGGCTCCGGAAGGCACGGCCCGAACGGCATATCCGTGTACTGAGTGTTCGGCTTTGAGTGCTCCACAAACAGACCCGGGAGTGACTCGAAGAGCCAGTACTTCCTGAACGCCCGGTCCTGACCGATAGGTTTGGGCCCATAGCAGGCCTGTAGGCGCCGTATTTGGGCCCTAATATCGCCGCAACTCCTCGACATATCCGCCTCTTTGTGGGCCTTCTCTTTGCGGTACTCTTCGAGCTGTTCCGGCGTCGGGACGCTCGCTGCCGACGCGCTCTCGTTGTTCTGGCCGTCTGTGCCCTTAACGGACAGCCGTTTCAATGAGTTGTCTTTCGTCCACTTATTAAACTCCGTCTGAATGTCGCGAATCTTTTTCCTCAGTTTCGACATCTCGTCGAAGGAGTCGTCGATTCGGTCCCTGAACTCGAAGTACGACATCAACTGCAGGACCAACACATCCAACACTTGCAGCCGTTCCGCGGGTTTTAAGTCGAAAATGGAGCCCAACTCTAGTGTCTCGAGAATGTCGCCATTCTTGGCCACAAACTCCACGCTGGGATCCTCTCGCGTCTGATAGAGACCCCGGTATTTAGAGCGCGGCTGCGGTCCGCCGCCCGATGACAACAAATACAGTCTCAAGACTTCGGTGATGTTCAACGGATCCAAACTCAGTTGAGACAACTGTACGCCGAAATGCATTTGAATCCAATTGTAATAATACACCGCATTCTTGTCGCCATCGATCATCTCATTCTTGTCGTCATCGGTGGTAGGCTTCGACGACTCGTCGCCCTCATCATCGCTACTGTCATCCCTGTCCTGCGCCACCTCCTCGTCCTCCCGCTGTAACGTCAGGTTCGTAGTGACCAACACTTTCACGAGATCGCCGTATGGGCCGTTGATGTCCACGTCCGTCACGATCTGCTCCATGAGCTCCAGAGTCACGCCGAACGGGAAAATAGGCCTCAAATCGATTAAGGCGTCGAAACAGTGGAGGAACTCCATGACGGCCACAGTGGCGCCGAACAGGTCCACAGGTATACCGCACTTGAGTGGCGTGGCCTCTGGCAGTGGCCGCAAGTCATCGCACGCCAAGTCATCCCTCTTCGTGTTCCACTCTTTCATATTCTCCTCGAACTGACGCTTCTGTTCCCTCTCCAGGAGCCGTTGCCTCAGCTTCCGCTCCCTTTCCCTCTCCTTCGCCGTCTGTTTCGGCGCCTCTTTGCTCGCAGTCGTCGTCGTCTTCGCCGCCTTTTCCGCACTCTTTTTGTTGCCGCTCTTCGGCGCCAACTTCTGCGAGGAACTGGCGATCGGTGTCCGCGACACTCCCGGTGCTGACCCGCGCTTCGAGTCGAGTATCGCTTTATGCTTATCCTTATTAAACGTCTTGACAATCATCGTCTGGTCCGCGAAGTTGGGTTCGGGACCGGCGAACATGTTGTCCCACGAGATCACCGACAGGTTCATCGACTGCCGGGTGTCGGCGCTCACAGTCCACGGGTCCGTGCGTTTCGTTTGCACCAAATGTTGCTTCAGATATAGCTTCAGCTTATCTTTTGTGATGAGACCCTTCGCACGGGTCACCCGTTCGGCGCCCATTATATGCCGCCGGCGCTCGCCGTCGATCAGCTCGTACTTATAGAGCGCCGGGTTTACGCCGAAGCTCTTGGAGCTGATCTCACGGTTGTCCCTCTCGTCGGCCGTGACCTCCGATGGCGTCGGAGGTATCACTCGAAACACCTTTCCCTTCATTTTCCTAATCGACACGAAAAACGTCTTAAAAAAGCTAATCCACGGATCAATTGGTGATAAACAACGAGTGGACGTACCGTTTGGTGTTCACAATGATCTCAATATCCTCGGCCATGAAATACCTGTTGTTTATGAACTGATAGATCATATCGACGATGGCGTTGATGGACGTCTCGCGCAGGTATCGCACGAGGAATAGGCTCGGGATCTGTAGGGCCGTCGGGAACGCCTGTAGGGTCTCAGCGCTCGCCCGCTCCGACTCGAGGGCCTCGCCGTACGTCAGACCCGTCCGTCCGCTCGTAGCGCACGTCCACACCATCGATGAGCACAGTATTTGCCGCTCGAAGAACTCGCTGTAAGAGATCCAAAGACATTAGTATCACACCAGAGATCACCCAAAAAGGGTCCAAAACACTGACTCGTATGTGAGGAACGCCTCTCGTGTGGCCTTACAGACAAACACCAGAGCGTCGGGTTTGGTGTTTGGCGGCAACTCATGCCTCAGGAACTCCTCACGGCCTAAGAGTGGCATTTGTCGGCTTTAGAGCTGATCCGGATGACAGCGACCACTGATTATCACGTCAACAATGGTTGGCAAACATGGCGTCCCATTGAGTGGCAGATAATCGACAAACAGGTGATGAAATAGCTGTCAAATGAAATCCGTGAGAGTGTTACGCGAGTTATGATGACTCGATGGCCACGAATACATACCTCCGGAGTCTTCGGGTGATCCGATGGGTCCGTACGTGTGATCGACCGAAACGCGCGTCCAATGAATGAGTGGTTAATAGAGAAATGGATTTCAAAACGCATTAAACAGTTGTGAACAGCAGTTGTGTTACCAATGAATCGCTTTTCGCCACTCAATGCACGCATACGATGGCACAGCACAAGCTGTATGTGTTATAATAGGCACTCAAAGTGCAGGCAATTGGCGCTCAATTCACTCGCAACGCAATGCATTCATAGCACCACTGCTGCCATCTATACGCTGAGTATTAAAGGTATAGTTGTCTGACCTTTTCGTACAGTTTTTCGCTGATTTTTATTAACTTTTTATGCTTTTTGTACTTTTGTTTCATAGAGAATTAGTTTTAAGGTTTTAATTTTAATTTAATTTTAGTTTTTGTGTTGTTTATTGAGTTTTGTTTACGTTTGTAGATATGAGTGGGAATTCCTATGCAATTGAATCTAAAGTTTTCCACAATTACCATCAGTGTATGAGTAGATAAGGGACTACTGTATCAGTAAATATAGTTTAAATAGCTTTCACGATCTCATCGTATCGTATCATTAGTTTTATTTTGTGTTTTAAATATGTTTTAATTTTAATTTTTTGCATAAATCTTTAAATATCTTGTTTATTGTTCAAGGCAGAATACAGTATTATACTCTTGTACACTTATAGTACAGTATACTGTAAAACAACATTAAAAATTAAGAATATTCTTGATACATATTATTATATGAGAGCATAGTATTATTATATTAAATTTATTGAACTAGCTAGTTTATTATGTTTAGAATGTTTAAATAAAGGCATTTATAAATATTATGTAATAATTTAACGTCATTTTTAAATATATTATAATTTATTATAATGTATATTAAGTATATTACAAAATAAATAAATTACTTTTAATTAAATAAATATTTAAAACAATCTATTTTTGGTTTAGTATGAATTGTTAATATTACAATATAATGTAACCCTAACAACATTCATATAAGTTATAATAACATAAATATTTTATTAGCTATAATTTCCATAAAATCTATATTTGAATAAGTTATTTAACTATCAAATGTAATAAATTATTACCGTCACAATCGTATATTGTAACAAAGCATTAATATTGATTTAACTAGAAAAGTATACAATCATAAATGTATTTAATGATTTTAGGTTTTTAGAATAAATACGATATAATAGGGAATCAGTGTATGTTATGTACAGTAGTAGAGTATACTATTAAATAAAAATAGTTATATCAAACAAGTATTGTGACAAAATATATTTAATACTTAATTATTTTAATAGACGTTTATTATTCTGATAACATGGAAATTAAGTTTATTTTGACAATAATTGTTTGGATAATATATGTATTAACTATAGTTTTCAGTTCAATCAAAAGTATAATATTTGTGGTTAAAAGTAAAATTAATTATTCATTCAAATCATATGTAAAACTATTGGTGAAAGTGTTGTGTCTTTCAGTGCTATTCTAT